GTAATTACTCACTAAGAGCTCTCAACCTTGCTACTCTAAAGAGCTCAACTAGATGAATGTAAATAATAAAGCAAGCTCTCAATTCTAATTACACTAAAGAGCTTGTATCAACTAGTTTGCAAGAAAGTAAATGAGTGAGTAGAGTGATTATACCGACGCGTAGGGGATGAACCAATCACAAGATGAATATATAGCCAATCACCGGAGAATGACAAAGAAGAGAGACAATCGATTTTCTCCCCGAGGTTCACGTGCTTGCCAACACGCTTCGTCCCCGTTGTGTCGACCAACACTTGGTGGTTCGGCGGCTAAGAGGTGTTCACAAACCTCGTCCACACGATTGGACACCGCAAGAACCGACCCACAAGTGAGGTAACTCAATGACATGAGCAATTTACTAGAGTTACCTTTTCGGCTCCCACCGGGAAGGTACAACTCCCTCACAATCACCGAAGGCGACCACGAACAATCACCAACTCGTGCCAATCCTTCACCGCTGCTCCAACTGTCCTAGGTGGTGGCAACCACCAAGAGAAACAAGCGAAATCCATGACGCAACACACGAATACCAAGTGCCACTAGATGCAATCACTCAAGCAATGCACTTGGATTCTCTCCCAATCTCACAATGATGATGGATCAATGATGGAGATGAGTGGGAGGGCTTTGGCTAAGCTCACAAGGTTGCTATGTCAATGAAAATGTGCAAGAGTTTTCCCTTGAGCCAGCCATGGGGCTATAAATAGAGCCCCCATCAAATAGAGCCATTGTACCTCTTCACTGGGCAAAACACGCTCTGACCGGATGCTCCGGTCATACCGACCGGACGCTGGCCCTCAGCGTCCGGTCGCCCGATGGACGCCACGCGTCACCAGCTTCAACCGCTGTTCGTCAGATTTCAACGGCTACGAAGCTGACCGGACGCTCCGGCAAAATTGACCGGACGCTGAAGCCCCAGCGTCCGATCGTTTCCAGTAAGCTCCCCGAGGCATGTTTTTTCGACCGGACGCGTCCGGTCCACCTTGACCGGACGCAGACCAGCGTCCGGTGCTCAACCCTACCCACTGTGCCGTCTGACAGCTCGACCGGACGTAGCCTTTCAGCGTCCGGTCGCTGAGTGACCCAGCGTCCGGTCAGTAGACCGACGCCAGCATCATTTCGACCAACTCCATTTCAACTCTAACTTCTTCACCCTTGCTCAAATGTGCCAACCACCAAGAATTTTGCATCCGGCGCAATAGAAAAAAGACATTTCATTTTTCCAAAAGCGCCGAATCCCGCCGAGCTCACTCGGCGGGAGGGAGAGAGGGACCCAAACCCATCTCAACCCTGCAAACACCTTGTGCACATGTGTTAGTATATTTTTATAAGTATTTTCAAGGGTGTTAGCACTCCACTATATCCTAAATGCATATGCAATGAGTTAGAGCATCTAGTGGCACTTTGATAACCGCATTTCGATACGAGTTACACTCCTCTTAATAGTACGGCTATCTATCCTAAATGTGATCACACTCACTAAGTATCTTGATCACTAAAACAAAATGGCTCCTACATTTTATACCTTTGCCTTGAGCCTTTTGTTTTTCTCTTTCTTCTTTTCCAAGTTCAAGCATTTGATCATCACCATGCTATCACCATTGTCATGATCTTCGTCATTGCTTCATCACTTGGAGTAGTGCTACCTATCTCATAATCATCTTGATAAACTAGGTTAGCACTTAGGGTTTCATCAATTAACCAAAACCAAACTAGAGCTTTCAGACTTGGACATGTGGTTCGTCGAGGTTGACAGCCTTCAGAGCGTTGTCGTGCCCTTTCACCGCCATCACCTCTCCTTTCTCCTTGGCCTCAACGTCGTGCAGTGCACAGAACGTCACCATCAGGAGAGTGGCCTCATCATCCTCATCAGCCTACGCTAAATGAGCCTCAGCCTTCTTCTCTTGCTTGCGATTTGGGCACTCCTTTGCCCAATGACCCGTCTTCCCGCAGCGCCGGTAGGCGTTGGGGTCAACCTTCTTCTTCTTCTTCTCTAAAGAAGTCTTACCGCGGCGCTTGCCATCGCCACCGCGGCTGAAGGAGGCTTTCCTGAACTTCTTCATCCGGGCAGCCCACTCCTCCTCTATCAGCAGCAGCTTGCTGCTGTCCGTCGTTGCTGTGGCCTGCTCCATGCGCTTGTCCACCACCCGCAGACGGCCTGTTAGATCCTCAATGGTGAGGTGGACAAGTCCAGCATCGTCTCTATGGAGAGAGCGATCTGGATGTACATCACCGGCACCGAGTGGAGATACTTAGAGACCGCCTCTTCTTCGTCGATGGTGACGCCGTGGCTCCTCAGCTTGCTGATGAGCGACTACAGGCGGAGGGAGAAGTCCTCTACCGACTCACCATCCTTGAACTTGAGAGTGGCGTACTCCTGCTTCAGCAGCTAAGCCGTCGCCTTCTTTGCGAGGTCCGAGCCGACGCGCATCGCTGTAATGGCCTCCCACGCCTTCTTAGTAGAGTTCTTCGCCCCCAACGGCTCCGTGTACTCCACTGGCATAGCAGCGAGGATATCCTCTAACGCTGACATGTCGTCTTATTCGTTGTCGGTGCCCTTGTCAATAGCATTCCAGAGCCGTCGGGCTCTGAGCTTGACCTTCATGGTCACCACTCACTCGCCATAGTTGGTGCGAGTCAGCGTCGGCCAACTGGTGTCGCTGACCTCCTGCACTGTGCGCACGACGACCTCCTGTCGTGGCTAGGCAGCCACAGCAGCGTCGCTGCTGTCGCCCATCTCCGAACCGTCCGTCATCGCCAATGGTTAGTCCGGTGATGACGCTTTTATGGCTCTGATACCACTTGTTGGCATCGGGATCTTCTGCACGGGTGAGCCGACCGCTCACCGGCATTACCGGCCACACACTATGGCAGAGGCAGAAGAAGGAAGGGAGAACAGAGCACACACACAGCACAAGCACCAGCGTTGGCCGGAGCTCTGCAGAGGAGATGACAAAACTGAATTCGCTCACTTTACTGAGTTGCTGTGGAAAACTATATATACAACTCTACCCATATAATCCTAGTGCACAGACATGCAAGACTGTCATGCTGCTACAGTGACTAGATGTGATAGCAGCGCTGACTTTGATGCCTGCCCCTGCTGTGGCAACAGTGCGGCATGGGAGCCTTTCGACGTCTGCCCCTACCATGGCTGCAGCAGGAGAGCCCTTTCAACGTCTGCCACTGCTGCACGTACATGTGAGCAGCTGATTACTTTACAGTGTCGACAGAGCGTATGAGCGAGACAAAGAACGGACGTATTTCACGTTCCATACAGGAGATGATCTGGATCACTGCTTTGAAACAAGCGACTAAATAAATAATAAATTAAGTTGAAACGACGACGGGGTAGATTCATAGATAGTCACTCTGTTCACTTGATCAAGGCTGCAACGCTGCATGCGGTCAGCGTAGCAACTTTTACATTATTTAGAAGCTATGAACGGCACTGACGGTCCATGCACGATCACACACTGTCAACCAGCAGCAGCGGATTTCGAAGCGTCGTTCGCTGGCTCTACTTGTTGCCTCCTCCCTGGTTGAGGCCCTGGAAGTAGCCCTGCGGGCTGGACTCGAAGCCGGAGCGGGAGATGTAGGCGTCGTTGCCGCCGGGTGCCTTCGTCATGCCGTCCCCGCCTGATCCACTGCCCGACTTCCCTGCACCACCATGCCCGGCGTACCCACCGCCGCTCTTGCCACCACCACCGGGGTAAGAGCCGCCTCCCATTCCTCCGCCACTGCCGCCGCCGCTCTTGCCACCACCGCCACCTCCTCCTCCACCACCCTTGCCGCCGCCGCCTCCCTTACCGCCCATCTCTCTCTGACGCGATCTGCTAGTGTAGGTAGCCTGCTGATCGATCAGTCTTTTTGGTAGAAGTCTAGAAGATATTCTTCGTTAATGTTCTGCGGTATCTGGCGTAGAGTGGAGGCCCTTTTTATAGCGGAGGATGGCGTTCCAGTGTTCAATGCAGCTAAGCTAGCACACGAAGCTGGAACGGTCGAGTAGCATGCAATGCATGGCGACGTCTCGTATCGGGTCTGCATGCATTCCCCTGTGTCTGTGTCCCCTCGTTTTCTCCACATAATAAGAAGAGAGAGTAACGTCGGCTAAATTCATTCACTGTTCATTCCAAAGATTTTAACTCGACTAGTAGCAATATAATCCGTGACCGTGAATGCGTGTCTATCCGTGCAATTTTAACTCGACTTTGTCTGATCTGTTCATTTTTAGTATTTTATTTTTTCAAATTTTCCTAAGCTTTGCGTCCTTTTTTTTGTATAGGAGTAATAACTGGTCCCTGCACGATGGTTTCGAGCCCACAACGCTCCCACTATCTAGCTTGGCGGGCCGTTCGTCCATTTACAGCCCAGTTAATCTCTTCCCCACCGACGGCCGCCGGCCCAACCCGAGCTTCGTTCGTCGGTGCACCGAACCTCTGTTTGGCAAGCGCACGGGCTACTTGCATCGTGCATCACATGATTTTGTTCTCTTTGTTGGCAACCACCACAATCACAGGGGGGCGCACGCTTGCTTGTATAGTACAGGAGTTCCTCTTTTTTTTGTGTAAAGTATAGTACAGGAGTTCCATTCATACAAAAAAACGTCGTTGCTTTGAGCAACAACGACAGCTAATTCATCGATCGATTGTGAAATTTTACATGTCGCCGTGTGAGAAAAAAAAAGATAAAATATACTTACTGTATATTATCGAAGAGAAAGTAAAAGAAAAGGAAAGGAGGAAAACATGGCGTGAATTGGATCACTGTATGTATGTGGGAGTATCATGTTTCTGTAGTCACATGTCATCTACCTCAATTGCATATTGGAGTGGAGATTGTACATTGGTCATGGCAGGAGGAAGAGCCAGCCGGCGGTGGCGAGGCAATGAATGTCAGTTAATAGGACGGGGACTGCGGCGGCTGCGGCGTGGGTCACCGTCACCGTCACCGTCACGGCGTCACCGGAGCAGCTGGATGGCCTTGAGGAGGACGGGCCTGAACCGGCGGACGTCGAGCCTGACGTCCTGCTTCCCGAGGTAGACGTCCTTGACGAGCGACCAGCTCTGCTCGTGGATGGGCATGGGGTCCAGCAGCACGGGGTGCGCCCTCGGGTACACCTCCGACAGCGTGCTCTCCTCCGCCGCGATGTTGTACTGCAGGTACCGCATGTTCATGTCCCGCGGCGGCACCCCGTACTCGTCCATGGCCAGCCCCTCCATCCGCCCCAGCGGCACCACCTGCACGACCACCGCGTTCATCGGCAGGAACACCAGGTTGGTCAGCCCGGACCCGTGCACCGCCACCATCGCGTCGAACGAGTTCACCAGCTTCGACGCGTCCGCCATGAGCGAGTGCCCTTCGCCCCCGACCCCGCCGGCGGCCTTGTTCTTGGCCGACGCCGTCGCTGACGACGCCGACATCAGGTCCGACGCCGTCACGTCGAACCCGACCTCCTCCGCTAGCGCCACGATCTCCGGGAGGTTGACGAACCGCCGCCGCGACCGGCGGGTGACGACGAGCAGCCGTGGCCTCCGCCGTCCGGCCCCGGCGGCCTCCTCCTCGTCCGTCCGGATGGCGTGCTCCCGCGGCAGCGCGTACCGCCACATCAGGAAGCGCTTGAAGTCGACCATGGACAGGTTCCGCGGCGCGCGGCGCGGGTCGATGCTCAGGTCCTTGTGGCTGCGCAGCCCGAGCGTGGCTCTGCGGAAGCACAGCACCTCCTCCCCATCGCCGTCCCCGCTGCCGAGGTCCACGGCCTCGTAGTTGGTGAGCCCGTCCACGATCTCCCGGTACTTGTGGAACCACCACGCCTGCTTCTGCGCCACCAGCAGCTGCACCTCGCCGCCCAGGTGGCGCGCCGTGACGAACAGCGGGATGATGTTGTCGTTGAAGTCGTGGTAGTAGTTGCCGCAGTAGCCGCCGTTGGAGTACACCACGGCCGGGACGTCGTGCCGCACCGTGCACGGCGGCGCGTCGCCAGGGGACACCACGCGCACCGTCAGCGTCGCGATGCTCCGCATCACGCGCACCTCGCCCTTGCGCGTGTACGGCTGGATCGTCCAGCTCGTCGCGTTCATCCCGGGAGCAAGGCCCGTCACGTTCGCCGCCAGCAGACCATCGGCGCCGCCGGGGGCCACCACGAACACCTCCGACGTGCTGCCGCGGATGCGGATTGCGCCCTCCAGCTCGCACACGTCCGACCTCGGGTCCGCGAAGTCGCACCGCACACGGGGCTCCGGGATGGACTCCTCCTCCACCAGCTTGAAGCCTCTCCTGCCGTCCAGCAGCAGCGACGGGAACCCGGGCTTGCCTGGAAAACACCAAATTCGCCATCAAATCAGTGAATGCGACGCAATGCGTAATGATCGATCAAATGAAATGTCCCAAATAAACAGGCATACCTTTGGTGACCATGACCATGTAGCGATCCATGGCGGGGGAGTAGATGACGAGGAACTGGATGGCGCCGATGAGGAGGAGCAGCGGGAGGTTGCAGAAGGCGGCGGCCCTGCCCTTCTTACTCCAGCTCCTCGGCAGCGGCGCCGGCGGCTTCATCTCCGAATCTTCTTCTTCTTCAGCTGCTGCTGCTGCTCCACCGGCAGCTTTACAACCATAAAAACCGCAGAGCCGCTACGCTGTGCTTGACCTTGAGTCCCTGACGACGGCGACGGCACTCATGAACGAAGGAACGCTTTTGAAGCAGAGGGGAGGCCGGCCGGCCGGAGAAGTACGGTGCGATTAATTATGAGTAGACGAGCAGGGCGGAATTAAACAGATGCATTGTTAATCACCGGGAACAGCGAGGCAGGGCGGTAGTAGTGGCCGCGGAGAAGACTCCACGGCAGCTCGTTCGCGATCGTGGATTAGATTTGTGCGAGAAAAAAATACTATTGTAGCTGGAAATTTACGATTGTTTACGACGAATCGAACAGCCTGTTGAAAGGCAGGCAGGTAGAGGTTTCATAAATTATTCGAAACAAATCCGCTCGCTCTCGCTCGTCGGTTGAAAGAAAGAAACCAACCAGACCAGCTGGGATACGCGAGTTCATGGATACCACGTTTCGTCGCCGCTTTCCCTTCCCTTTTCTTTCGTTTCGTTTTTTTTTCTTTATAAACTTTTTCTTTCTGCCTTGATTGATGATCAGGATGATCAAGGGAACGAACTGATACGGACTGACGTCGCATCGTCTTTTCCGGCTCGTCGCCTTCCTTGTCTCCGGAGAATCGACCCCGCGAGAAGCCGCTGGAACGAGCCGGCGAACCTGTCGAGGATCTCCATCTCCACCTCCTTCAGATTTTTGCTGCCATCTCACCGCCGCCGTGATTGCGCTGAATGCATGTATTCGAATGCGGCCGGCAAATCTGCCACATTTGCAGGTAGGATCGTGAGGTCAAACGCGCGCCATGTGGGACGACGATCGCATGGCATCTTGGAAACCGTGTGAATTCAGAATTCAGAGGCCAGGCAGATCGGAGTTTGCAAGCCACGACAGCAGGTGATGATGCCACTGATACCGTGAATCCGTGAGAGATACGTGCTCTCCGTTTCTTATTTGTTCTCAGATCTATCGGTTTGGCATTTCCTGGAGGCTGCTCCGGCCTCCGGCACGAGGAATTGTCCGGTAGCAAAGGAAAGGGAAGGAATCACATGACCAAAGGCAGGCAGCAACAGAATGACTAGATTAACCACACTGCGCTTGTGCTTGTGCTACCCTGCGTCCAAAAAAGAGTGAAAATCTAGCTTGCAGGGGATTTCAACAATTTCAAATGTAGCTTAATTTATAGAAAATAGTATCACATTTCCAAATAGTTTTATTATCAAAAGATATTTCATAATTAATCTACTGCTTCTTATTACTCCGGAAGCTGAGAGTAATACATCTTGTGTCTTTGCCAATTATTTCTTTTCCTCCTCCCCTCTTCTCCCAAATAGGACTGTACACTTTATGCCAAACATCATGTTCGCTCGTTGGTTTCGGCCAGGACTTATCAACCATGACACAGTGTTTTCCTCTCACAACAAACCGCACCAGCCAGGCTTATCAGTCCAGAAACCAACCATCGAACAAGCTGAAAAGTGTTAAAGTGGCAGCTTATCATTCAGGAGTGAGCACCTGTGAGTTACTACTAGTATTAGTTAGGCCTAATGGCCTATTACTTAAGTAGCGAGTAAGTGTGATTTGCGTCATCATAGTGGTTGTACATGGCTTCTTCATTCATCCCTTTCGCCGCATACATATATTACGACTCGAAACTGTGTCTTTTGCTGCCTGTCCGGCCATGACAGCACAACAATTCTAAACAACAGTGAGCTATCTCGAGAGATTACAAAACCGATGAGCAAAGCTCGCGAAAGCCGAAAAGCACAGTCGAACCGACAGGCTATGACGTGCACAAGAACACAAATGGGATTAGGAATTTAGGATTAAGAGATGATAAAGCTCTAAATTCTTGGATGAACATGATTCACAAAAAAAAAAAACTCTTGGATGAACATGGAGACACATCCAGCTAGCGGCCTGCGCGTGTACCTGCTGCTGGCTGGCTCTAGAGAGTAGAGCCCTCAGCCATCGGCAATGCAGTGGAGTTTTATTTTAAAACATAAACTAAAACAGGTGTGATAGGAGTAGTCTTTTATTTGTGTCAAATTTGCAGTATCATATTGTATGGTTGACGACGATTAGAATAGGAAGTTTGACTAGCATCTGGGGTGTCAGAGTAGTAGCTGAAGTATGTATCACCATTTGCCAAGTGGCCACGATTATGAATTTGCGTCGATCGATGCAGCGTTCTGACCTTCTGCAAACAATGCAAGTAGGGATCAGGAGAGGAGTGCTGGCCATGTCCGCAAGCAGGACTGTTTGTTTTCTATTCTGATCTGGATAGAAGTGCAATGATCTGAGCCATCAGAGGAAGCACTCTTTCAGTTGCCGAAAACAATTTGGGAAGAGGTGCTCCCGATCAACTGAACATACGACTGTATCTAACTTCACCCACGTTAGGTCCCAAATCTTCCCATCATAGCTCTGTTCAGATCGCCATTATTTCTGAACATACAGTTTGGATTTTATTTTAGTGTCTAACTCATGCATATATCTGAACTAAAATGACAACCTACATTGTCATTCTGTAATTCTGCACATGGAATAAAAAAGAAAATGACACTGACCATGCATATACAACCTGTTCGGCTGGTGCTGTCCAGCCCCCTTACGCGGACACTGTTCACATAAACAGTGTTTTTCAGCCAGAACAGTATTTCTCTCTCGTACAAACCAGCCAGCAGTACTTCTTCACGAACCAGCAACGATACGAACCAGCCAACCGAACATGCTGATAGTTCTGCATTGTCATTTTTTAGTACTGCATAGTTTAGGATGGTTTATAAGTGTCAGGCTTTTTTTTTGGAAGGTCAAGTGTCAGGCTTATCACTCGCATGGATGCACCGGGGGATCCTCTAACCATTGTTTGGTTTGCCTTCGAGAACCAAGTCTGTTGCTTTAGATGATACACTGTGAATACATCTATATCTAGTAAACAAAATTGAATACATCTAGCAAGCAAAATTGAACTTATGTTTTACCATAACCAAGTATGTTGCTTTAGATGATACACCGTGTATTTTATAACTCTATATTTTGTAGGTTATTACCTGCAATGTGTCAAAGACTCAAGACCTTGCAAAACTGAAACTGAAGCATTTATTGGCCGAGGAGTATGAAGTGGCACACTACCGTTTGCTGATAACAGTTACTTGAACCATTGATGATGAACTATTTACAAACATTACTTGTGTTCTTGTACTCGAGCAGGAGAACAATCTGAGCATGTGAATTTTTCTTTTTGGCTCCTATTCAAAGAAACCATCAGCCTGTTCGCTTATTGGTTACAGCCAGGGCTTATCAGCCAGCCAATAGTGTTTTCCTCTCACAGCAAACCAGCACCAGCCAGGCTTATCAGCCCAGAAACCAACCAACGAACATGTCAAAACAGAATAATCTGACATGCAAAACTTTTTCTCTGGCTCCTACCAAGATTGGATATGAAATTTGTTCAGCTTTGAGAAGTTCCATTGTGCCAATTTCGTGTTCTGATTTGAAGTTTCAGTGCTCCACGGGATGGTTGTGCTTACTGGCTCAGTGCGACTATGTCTAGTAGTCACTGTAGTCTTCATGGACCATTTGGGAGAGCAGTGTAAGGCGCTGCGTATTCAACAGCGTTGTTATGTTCATTCTCTGACATTCTAGATAACAATAGCACTTGTTCTTTTTCTGTTACCCAAACAGCTAATTATTCCAAATGAGAAAAGAAACAACCGAGTCCTTTGTGCAAACGAATTTGCACATGTAAACCAATTACATTTCAATAAAAAAAAATCATTTTGCCAAAAAAAAATTCCACAATGTACAAACCAAATTTCATTACTAAAAAACAACAAAATTACAATAGTTTCAGGTACTTATCAAGTTTGAAAACAAAATCCATCCCTTGCATTCACACTGAGCGCACAGGGTCTAGGAAGGTGACCAAAAAATGATACCACAAAACCTCCCTCCGTGCGAACAGCCAAGATCTAGGTTTAAGAATCTGAGCTACAACTACGCCAACTTCGACTTATTGTAGCCATAACTAGCTGAATTGGCACGTAGGCCAGCGACGATTGGCCTTCATAGCTCAAAGATTCTGCCAAACATGCCCATACTTCTTTCTTAAGAAGTCATCACAGACACAAAGCAAGACGCCGATGCAGACGCTGAAGACGAATAAGGTAAGTTTCACTTTCACATCCCTCGTTAGTTCTTGTAGTAGCTTGACACTCCGATCCTTCCAGAACTCGGCATTGTATGCTAGCAATAGGTCTTCTCAACAGTACCAGACCAATCAACAGAAGACAATACTCAATCAAACGTCACTAATCTGATGCAACAATTTATGCATCAAGAGGAGGAACAAAATATATATTGATTTTTTTACTGAGACCATACCCAATTGGTTCCTCCATTGAGCCAGTAGTAAAAGTGCCAGCATTACCAGTAGTCCCGCGAGCAAAATCATTTGCAACACGTAGCCGATTCGCATAAACACGATGCAAACTAATCATGTTCACAGTATCGCATTGGCGTGGACCAAATGAGTCAAGAAGGAAGTTAGACGCCAGTGTGAGATTCTTGAACACATCATGTTTGCAATTGGTTACAAGAAGCGTGTCAGCATCAAATAAAAAGGGATAATAATACCAGAAATTGAGCAAGTATATACTCCCTCTCTCCCGGTTCATTCAAAAAATGTAATTCTAGCTATGTAACTGGACAACATTTGTCCATATACATAGCTAGAAATGTATTTATTTTGGTATAGAGGGAGTGTTAGCTTTATTATTGTTAAGACAGAGACAGGAATATGCGCATACCACAACGGAGACGACAGATTGATAACTTCCTCTGTAGAGCATAACACCGAAGGCAGACAGCCGAATCAGACGGCCTGATAAAAAAAGTGGTGTTGCATATCTTTCAACACCATGACTTAACATCTCACACAACAGCTTAGCCTCT